TGTGTGTGTGTGTGTGTGTGTGTGTGTGTGTGTGTGTGTGTGTGTGTATGAGTGCCTTCCTGCTCCATTTGACGTGTCCTATAGGTTTAACTGCAGCTTTCACTCAACATCGATGCTTTTAGTTCTTTCTCGCTTATTATTTTTTCCCTCCCTTCCTCTTCGTGTTGTTCTAGCCGTTTGATTTTTCTTTTTCTCATTTCATCCCCGTCGACTTCTTTTCTTCGGCGGTGCAGAGTGGTAAGAAAAGGGTCGAGACAAAGTAATGACAGAAAGTGTGTTTTGGGATTAGATAACGCTGCTCAATATGAATGTATTTAAGGATGGTGTTGAAGTCATCAGGGTTGGATCAGCCATACAAACCCCACCTCCATGCTAATGCGCTGCTGTATTAAAGATGATGAGATATGAGAGCGTTTCTTACACAGAAACCTGTTTTAATTAAAGTAGAGAGCACCGTAAATCACCACTCAGGCCTCAGACGCACACGAGGAGGTTAGTGATGCTGTATTTGAGTGGATCCAGTTTAATAGGAGACAATATATTGTTTGCTTGACATGAAATGACAATTATATATAGCAATTCAATAAAAGACCGAATCCTGCCAGAGTTATTACAGGAAAGAGACGCAGCAGTAAGGAAGCGTGATTCTCGTCGGATTTAATAACATGTGAACCCTCTGACTCAGCACCTTGGTGCCTTTTCATTGCCCCCCGCTACCTGCCATCTGCTTCTCATTCAACCTTCGCAGGAAATCCTCTTCGACCAATCAAATTGGGCCCTAATCTGCCAGACTTCTATTGCAGCGGCCCAAAGGTCAGAGAAGCAGGAGGCTGTTTGTTTGAATCCCGCAGCAGCTGGAGGAGATCTGGCCGTGAGAATAAAAGATGCTCTCCGTTACCGACAGAAGTTAAATAGTTTCCTTTAAGCATTTTCTAAATATTGCTCCTCTGATTGACAGATAGGAAACTCCTCGAAATAGGACACAAAAGAAGTTTTAAATTTTTGACTTCCACATGAAAGTTTATAAAAAACCCTCCGTAGATATCTACACGTAGCATGAGCGCTTTGTGGAGACCTCAGGCTGTTCTCATACAGCTTAGCTTAGCTTAACCAAACCTCTGCTACGCTAACACCAGGTGCTATATGATATAATGAAACGAGTATTGCACGATGTTGAGAATGTACTATTGCATATGATCTGGATATTATTGTTCCCAGTAGAGGACAGTTGAGGTGTTCACTGTCTTCAGTATGAATATTTCTGAAGTACGGTTCCTTCTCTTGAGTCAAGAGTTGAACTCTTTCAGAAGCGTAGATGTCTTTTTTCTCCACATTCCGACAGACCAGTTTTCATACTCGCCCCTCAACGAGCAGCTCTTCAGATTTTTTTGGTATTTGGACGTCTTATCATATTCGGGATCGGTTTGGCTCTCTGCTCTCCTCCAGCGGTACTTTCCAAGTGTGCGGGAAGCAGAACAAAGCAGAGTGTTTCAGTTTGTGTATGAATCTATATGCAGGGAGAAGGTTTCCCAGGGAATCCCCTCCTCTCCAGCTCTCCAGTGGTTTCACTCTGAATACATCTAGAGAGGAGTGATACCTCTCCTCTGTTTCTGGGATCTTTGTCTGAATCTTCTCCTTTTAACCTTTAACTCTCCTCCTCTTCCTCTCTGCAGAGCTTAATCCTAAAGGTAAGTGTTTGGTTTGTAGAGCTAGATAGAATAGAGCAAGTAGAAACACACACACACACACACACACACACACACACAAGTAAAAAGACAAACATGCGCTGTAGACATACACGTATAAATGTATCTGCTGTATTTTGAGACGTACATTTCAAAATTCTCTTTCACACAAATAATAAAACTACACTATGCATTCCAACACACACACACACACACACACACACACTACTGTATATACAGGAATAGACCACTGCCTACTGTTTATGTTCCTGCAACTTGATACTTGGCAATGGTCTGTACACACACACACACACACACACACACACACTTCCTCACCGTATGGAATAAATAAATATCCATTTATATTCTTTTATACTCTGAGCAGTTTACACAGAAATATCATCTGTTCCACATACACACATACAGGCGTACGGAAACGCATTGATTCGTATGTTTCAGCGCCGCCACACACACACACACACACACACACACACATATTCCTGCAGTAGTGTTCCTAGTTGTCAGCCAGTGTTTGTTTTAGTCCGTCTGAGTTTGTGTGCTTTGATACAGAATAGGATGTCCTGTAATCTATAGTGGGCTTAGAGGCCCTACAGTAGCGCGCACACACACTCGCGCGCACACACACACACACACACACACACACAGTAGTGTACCTCCGCTCCTAACTCCAAATTATGTTCATATGCAGATATTTTGCATCAGCCAAATACATTCTCGGGTAAACGTAACCTGCCAAAAGGATTTCCTCATAATTGTTCTGCAGATAGCTGTTACAGCTGCATCAGTCAGCGTCATTTGTGTCAATGTGAAATATATCAGAGATATATCAGAGATGGCCTCTGTCAGCCATGTTTTCTTGCACGGCTTCGCAGCCGCAGCCTCGTCTTCTCTCCGCTGCATTTCTTCGGCCGCTCTGGCTCCAATAAATACGGCTGAATGTCAGAGTTAAGTTGTGATTCAAGAAACATATCTCTTCTAAGTGGTTAGTTTGCCTATTTAAGATGAGAACAGTTGATGCAAAAATGGTTGCCATTTTTTTTTAAACAGTGTGTCCCCAGAAATTGTGTTTGAGAAACCCTGATCTAGAGCGTGGTGCGACCCAGAGGCGCAGACTATAAACTCTAAATCAGAAACAGCCTGTAGTTCTTCCTTGTGTCCAGCTACGTCGCTGTCGCGTCTAATGACGGCGCTGGATGCAGGAAGAACAACATTTCTCCGTCGATTAAGCAGCAATTTATCGCTTCCACAGACTGCATTTACCATCAACACCGATCACACACGTACATTAACCCCTTTACACTCCAGGAAAAGATCTCCGTCATTATCACACAACAGAAATGTCGGATCACTTGGAAGCTGAAAGACAGAGATGTGCGACAAAGAACAACATTTATCCAGAAACCCACACCTGGACTTCCTGTCTCAGTGGGCCGTTTAACGCTCATCACCCAACACAGAATAGCTGCACATTAAGGAACAGGATTTGTAGAAGACCGTGCTGTGACTGAGTGTATCACAGAGGAAACGATAAAAAGACACACACACACACACACACACACACACACACATAAAGAATGAACATATGTGGTCTTTCCCTTGTACACACTAAATCACACACACATGGCTGACATCACTGCAGCTGTGGTAAGAACCTGATCCTGTACAGTGGTCCTCTACTCAAATAAACTCTATGGTCCCCTCCTTCACACACACACACACACACACACACACACACAGCAGCGGTGCTAAATTCAGGCGACATCCACACGACTAAACGTGCTTCTTTTTAAAACGCGTATCTTCTGCTACGTTTAGCCGATGGGCCACACTACTCAGGCGCTCTGCAACCCATGAAAACGGAGACATTTGGAAACGCTGCTGATGCCGTCTTAGTTTGAAAACTCAGAGGTTGCGTTGTAGTGTGGACGGGCAGAAACGGGAATCTTTTATAAAGAATAATTTGTTATTATTATTATTTATTTAGTATTGTATCAAACCTGTCACGATAGAACAAAAGTCCAAACTTAGACACCACTACTTTAAATTGTGATTAAGATATAACTTTATTAATCCCTTTCATTAAGATTACAACAGAACAGCAAAAAACAACAGAATAAATATATAACATATATGAACAATAGAAAACCAATTATTGTAAAGTGATACTGACACTGCAAAATAGAACACCATAGCAATAAGAGTAAGTAAATATACAATGTAACGCTTTTCACTTGAAAAAATTAAATAAAACACCAAATATTAAATGTGTCTAACGGCTCATAATCACAAACTTGCAGGATAAGTATTAGTGTTATAAAATGAATATACACACACTCAGACACCACTACTTTGACTTGTGATTAATTCCCTTTAATAAAGGTATAATCTTAAATACATTGTTTTATTACGTAACATGCACCGGTACTTTACCCCGTGGCCGGTGCGCGGTCTGTATTTATGCTAGTTTGATTGATTTTATTATTACATTTTTTCCCGTCTACATTCTGCATAGACCCGCCTACTCTGCCTCTGATTGGCTCGTACTCGTACTTTGTAAGATTATTGCTGACAAACAACATTGTTGGAAGGTTGGTCGGGTTTATGATTTCAACCGGATATTAATGTTTTCATAAGGACGGCAGAGTTCATGTAGAATTATGCACGTTGTCTCTGTGGATGGAATAAAATAATAGATCTGCTGGAGATTTAAATAATAATTAACCTTAATGTTGATATGGCACTGATAATGGCATTTAATCACCAGACTTTGAAGTCGATATTATTATTAATAATGATAATAATAATAACGAGGTTCTTCGTCGGGCCCTAATAAATGTGAATAAAGTTTAGAGTCAAAGGGGATAAAGATCTCAGGCAGATGTGGTTTGTGGGTTCATATCAGGCTTTTGGGGACACAGCAGCAATTTTGTGTTTGCTGATACAGAGCAGGTTGACTTATGGCTTACATTTGTTGCTGTAATTATATATTCAACAGAATACAGATGTCTGGAGGCCCGAAACAGCCTCACATGTGTTGGAAATTATGCTTTTTTATTTTTATAAGGAAGTTTGTGTTGAGAAATTGTAGTAAAACACACGCTGGTCGTGCAGGTAAATCTCTGTGAGGGTAGCCTGGGAATGTACAGCACGCACACACACACACACACACACACACACACACACACACTGTAATAATGAGTAAATGGTTTGAATCTGAGATGGAAACATGTTAGCCAACCTTTCATGACCTCACTCCCTTCCTCTTCCTCCATTTCACCTTCTGTCCTTCCATCCCTTCTTTAATGTCTCCTCCGTTGTCGAGTCATCTGTTTTAATCTCATTCATCTCCATCTCTTGTTTCCTCTCCCTCCCAGTGTCACTGACACTTTTTATTGCGCTGCTTATATCCCCCCCATCACCAACACCTGAGGAACAGAGTTTCTTGTTTTCATGTTAAAACTCTCACAGCAGCCTGTTTCCACCACAGACTGTATAGAAGTGGACGTAGTCGTCGTGACGTCACTCGTTGGTTTGTGGACTGACGTTATGAAGCCTCCAGTTCTGCGATTTTGCCGTCACCATCTTGTTTTTTTGGTACCAATGATATATAATATAACCATATCTTAATGATTCAAAATATAAGATGATTAAAAATGTCAGTACGTGGGTAAATATCGATCTACAGCACATGCGTTTCTGCCTATATATCCGTTCACTACATATCACATATACTTTACCTTAATCTGGACCATTTTCAAAAACACAACACACTGTTTTTACATGTAAAGGCAGCCAACGGTTTCATTCATTTATGTTCTGAAATTCATCTCTGAGAGACTTGAAACCTGCTTCACAGTGCAAATCATGTCTGCCCGATTACTGTAAGAGAACCTTTAAAACACATTGTTGTTTTAAAGGTGAATAATGGCCTCCAGAAAAGTGAAGTTTGTGTGATGTGTCGTAAACAAACAGATCTGGATCTGTTAGTTGAACCTTCACAATGTTTAAGACGAGAGGAATCGATCCAGAACTCAGGAGATAAACGTTTAAGTGTCATCATCACTGTGAGCGTCACTCCTCCAACACGGAGGAAGAGTTTCTCACTTCTGATTTTAAAATTGAGTGAAATTACTATACCTTCACTTTGACAACATGTGGATTTAAGCCTCTCTGTTGTGTTTGTTGGTGAACTTTTGAATGAACCAGGTCAAAGAGTCGGTGAGCAATGAAGAGAGAAAAGAGGACCACAGTCCTTCTTCCTCTCTGAAACTCTCTCTTCTTCTTACTGTTTATCTTGCCTCCACATCCTCTCTTCTTCTCTCTCTCTGCCTCCGTTCATGTAGTCAAACCTAAATTGAATTATTCACATAATCATGTAATAATTGCATGTCTGGTGCACAGTAGTTGTAGGTAATTATCACTATCTGTAACCACCTGGAACGTTCCATGATTCATCCGTCCCCTCCCTCCCACCTCGGCCGTCGTCTCTTGTAGTATTTCCCTCCCCCCTCCCAGTCGTTAGTTCCCCCCCCCCCCCGGGTCCCTCGCTCCATCTCTTCTTAACAACTGTTTTCCTCCATCACCCCTTTCCCTTCGCTCTGTTATTCTAGCTAAGTGTAGATTTCTGCCAAGCTCGGCACTGCTTAAGCTCAGGACATATATTATATATAGTTGGCCCTTAACTCCCCCCCCCCCCTACTTTTTTTTTTTTTTTACAAAACTTCCTTTTCGCCTCCTCGACAAACACTCCTCCAAACCTGGTGTTGAGTCTCTCGGCCTCGTAGCGCTCAGATGCTCTTGTAATGTGAATATCTGCAGTGTTGACGGTGTTAATGAATGTTAACGCGGCGGCTGTTCTTTGGAGAGAAAGAAGACGACGTGCCGACCGCCTTTGATTCGCTGTCGGGGAGTTCTGAGGAGATGGATGCCACTTTAGGGAAGTGGGCTGTGAAGAGCAGGGAGGCTGGAGAATAGTGTGAAATAATGCAGAATTAAGTCGTTGTTATTAATATTAGTAGTTGTAGTAGTACATTACAGTCATTTAGCAGACGCTTTTATCCAAGGCAACTTACAATTCAGAGTCTATCACATTTCTACGGGAGCAATTTTGGGGTTAAGTGTCTTGCTCAAGGACACATCGACATGCGACTAGCAGAGCCAGAGCCGGGGATTGAACCGCTGACCCTCTGATTGAAAGACGGCCCTGCTATCCACTTAGCCACAGTCCACTTAACCACAGTTGCCCACAGTCGCCCTACGACTAGTAGTAGTGGTAGTAGTAGTAGTCATAGTAGTCGTAGTAGTTGTAGTAGTAGTCATAGTAGTAGTTGTAGTTGTAGACGTAGTCGTAGAAGTAGTAGTCGTAGTAGTCATAGTAGTAGTTGTAGTTGTAGAAGTAGTCATAGTAGTAGTGGTCATAGTAGTCGTTGTAGTAGTAGTCATAGTAGTAGTTGTAGAAGTAGTCATAGTAGTAGTAGTCATAGTAGTAGTAGTCGTAGTTGTAGTAGTAGTCATAGTAGTAGTTGTAGTTGTAGAAAGTCGTAGTAGTCGTTGTAGTTGTAGTAGTAGTCATAGTAGTAGTAGTTGCAGCAATTATAGTTCCAGTAGAGGCTTTTCCAAAATAGAAAAATAAAATGTATATTTTCCAACTTCTCTGTTGACCAAAATAAGTAAATTATAATGAAGTCATGATCACTATTTATTTTTCACTTTTTAAATTGCAAAAAAATACGTAACCCTGACAAAGGGATCCGATGGAGAAAATGCAAAATAAAATCTTTCATTTTTGGTATATTTTCCTCTCTTCAGGAGTTCCCAGGGTTCTCCAGTCCAGGTTCCGTCTTCCTCTGGCGTTGCTGTGTGTTCCATCCTCTCCGGCCAAAACCACCAAGTTTAAGATCACCGTGGACACCAACCAGCCACCGGTCGACCTCAACTCCGTCTTCCCGGGTAAAAACGCACATCCACACACTCAACATGCAGCCATGCCGTTCTCACTTTCACAAACAATCGAGGATTCTGCATTTGAATCACTCGTTTTTCTATAAATCTAAACGCATTGTTCAGTTTAAGACTGAGGAGTGTGAAGTTTGAAGTTTGGCATGTTGTTTTGGAATACGTGAGCGCACACCTCTGATCCTTTGTATTGCTGCTGGTGCTGGTCAGCATGTTGATGAAGGTGGACCTGCAGGTTCACTGTGATTGGGGTGCATAAGTGCGTTTACTCTGGCACTATATAGTGCACTATAAAGGTCATCAGCTGCCATCAGCATTCATATCTATACAACCAATGTGTTCAGGATTACTATGCAAGTGTGTGCGTTGTGTTCACAGTGTCCTACATGATAGTGTGCTAACGGACGTCTCTGAAATGGGACACAGCATTTGAGGAAAATAAGAAAGGCACTCTAAAAGAAGAACATACTTTGATTTACACATAGTTTAGTAAGTGGGAAAGGGAATTATTTTACATCATCAAACCTTCAGAATGTACGTACAGCTCTCGAGATAACGACTGCTTCATTGCTTCACAGCTGTATCCGTGTGTGATGGTTGTGTTCTCACACAAGGTGGCGCAGGTTCAAACCCCGGTGTTTGTTCTGAGCATCAGAGATTAATCACCGAAGGTGCTCAGATTCTACAATCTACTTTTTTTAAGGCTGGCATTATAGTTCACATAAAGGAAAAGAGAAGTGAGTGCGTTACACGAAGTGAACGGAAACCCCGGAGAGGGAATGAGAGAACGTGTATACATTGACACGAGTAATCAACTGTTATGCATCTCTGTATTTGGTTGTGTATTTATGTCAGTGTGTTTATGCGTGTTTATTTATTTGTGATTGTGTGTGTGTGTGTGTGTGTGTGTGTGTGTGATCCAGCCCTGGGAATCTCTGTTCTGTTTCCCAGTTATCTGACAATCGGCTACAATCAGCAGCTCCGACGTCCAAACACACTCTGCTCATAAAGAGGCATTTGTTTAAGCCCGCTTGTATTTGTGTGTCTGTGGACAGTGTGACTGTATCTTGTTCACCTTTCTGTTGTTGTTGTTGGCGTCTCGCATCGTGATAGGCCGTCCTATCTGTCTCATCGCACTGCCGTCTGTCTCTCTCTGCAGAGTTTTCAGCGAAATCCGAAGATAAGGACAGGAATAGTTTGGCTTTCCACTTCCTGTCAGGAGCGACGGTGACCGTGCTGGCCTCCAAGACCTCCCGTGAGTCCTGACAACAACACCTCAACCCGCTACTATTTCTGCTACTATTTCATCCTTAAACCCTATTCAACCATTTAGATATCTTTAAATACCTTTCTGCAACCTTTTAATGCTGATACATTATTTTATCTCTTTCCCCACTTCACTACACATTTCATTTGTCAGAACGTTACCGCATCCAGAGCGACCGTTTTCAGGACATGTGGCTGGTGGTGAAGGAGTTGGTCCAGAGGTTCGACCAGCATTTCTCCAAACTGGGAGTCAAAGACTTCAAGAAGAGCTTCAGCGGCCCGCTCCCCCTGCAGGAGTACTTCCTGACTGTAGACCACCACTTCCAGGTACGCGCCGAAGCCGGTACCCCAGTTGACCTTAAGAGAGCTAAACAAGCATTCCCAAGTAAACAGGAAGTTGTCTTGTCTCCCTGTGTGTGTGTGTGTGTGTGTGTGTTTTGTGTGTGTGTGTGTTAGCTGCGTGTCAGTGCTCGACAGTACCAGGATCTGCTGTCAGAGCGGGCCGTCCAGTTCAGAGCCATCCAGCGCCGCCTGCTGACCCGATTCAAAGACAAAACCCCGGCGCCGCTGCAGAACCTGGACACACTGCTGGACGCCACTTACAGCCAGGTCAGAGGACACACACACACACACACGGGTCACATGGGGGACACCTGGATGGGGGGGATGATCGGAGGGGACAGCTTGTCCGATGCGACCCCGAGTCGTTTCCTGAAGTGGAACGTCTTTTGGGAAAAGGAGCAATTTGAGGTGGTTGATGTGAGCGACTCTGCACCACAGACTGTATATCACAAGTGGACATAGTCGCCATTTTGGATTACGGCCGTTGCCATGTTGGGTTTTCTTTGCCAACAAAAGTGACATAGAGACACCGTATTACGTCTCTGGTGTTGCTGGCTTTTGTATATATATACACTGTATATATATATATTATATTATATTTTTTATTTGTCTGACCCGTGGAGGTAAAGTTTACCTCTGAGAGTATTTCCCACTGTCCCACTCTCTTTTGCTGTCTTTCATTAACTCACGCAAAAACACACACACACACACACACACACACACAGACACACACACACAGCGATGACGTGTTGGCGTAGTTTTACAGTGTGAGAGCTGTATTCTGCTGATTTATGGACTTCCTCCCTTTTGGTGATTAGCTGTGAGCTCACACCCAGTTGGACAGAAACACAAAGTCACGTTAGTTTAAACAGACGCAACCTGTTACGGACACACTTGTAGCTGCACGCCCATGTGTGGACACTCTCTAGCTCTGTCTGTGTGTGTGTGTGTGTGTGTGTGTGTGTGTGTGCATGTGTGTGTGTGTGTGTGTGTGTGTAGTTGAGGTCAGTGCAAAGCTGATTTTGAAACAAAGCAGCCGTTAAGCTTTTGTCTTGCCCTTTGTTTAAGTTTGACGTATGGGAGGGTGGAACAGCTTTTATTGTCTCTGTGGTAGTGTGTGTGTGTGTGTGTGTGTGTGTGTGTGTGTGTGTGTGTGTGT